TATACACTTCTCAAGACCTTGTATATATAAATGCATACTTAGAGCTTAACTTTTGTTTGCTTGAGTGCAGTTTCGAGCTCGTTTATCTTGGCGTTTTCTCTTTATCTATATCTCGAAGACGCACGCGATCATCGTCGCGCTCGAGCTCGATCGAACTCGCGATACATATCGTATTGTTTGCTCAATTCTGCCCTTTGTGCGAGCGCATAAAAGATGCAGGATGAATAAGGTACGCGGGAAAGAAAGGAGAAAAAGAAATGAAAGGGAAAGATAGTTCGCAGGGGTTGAGGGATAAGAAAAATATCAACTGTTTCTATATACCAAGTCCACGTCGCTATATACTTTTTCGTCGTCGTCGTCGTCGTCGTCTTCGGCTTCTTCTTTGAGTCTAGGGCAAAAGAGTCGGTTTCTTGTTCTCTCTCTCTCTGTCTCCAGCTCGTAGTCTCTCGCAGCATAAAATTCTCTCCCTTTGCTGCTGCAGCTGTGCAGTACCAGCGATATATACATAGTGTATGCACAGAGCGAGGCAGACTGCAGCGAGCGCACTCCTCCGTTCCACCTGTAAATCCACTTGAGAGAGAGAAAGAGAGAGAGAAAGAGAGAGAGAAAGAGAAAAAAGAGTGGGAGAAAAAAGCTCTTTCATCATGAGCTTTATCTGGTGGCTCACTTATCGATTACTTTTGTCGCTACTGCCATGTTTAAATTTCTCTTTCTCTCTTTCTCCCACTTTCTCTCGCCGATGGTATATAGCGCATACACGCGCCAATCTATATTTACAAACGTGTCAAACGTGCTGCAGAAAGAGAGGGAGAGAGAGAGAAAGAGAGAGCTCGTCCTCAAAAATCTTAATGCATTATTAAATCAAGTGCGACGCGAGTTGTGTTTCGCGTTCCGAACGAGACTCGTAGGATTTATTACATAGCGAAGCGCACGTAACGTCACGCGGCGATGAAAGAGAGATGTCGGAAAGCCGGTGTACTTGGCAGTGGAAAATTGAAATGCAATTACGCGGAAAATGAGTGCGTACGTCGATCGAAATGTTCCCGACGAGTAACTCGTCAAATTTGTTCGTCGGTCGGGAGAATAAGATCGAAAATTAATCATTGTACGTATGCTGACAAGAAAATGAACACTGGGTAACACCGAACACTGTACCTCGTTAATGAAATTACACATTTACGCGTCTATGTTTTTGTCAGTATAAGTAGCTCACAAATGACTTACTCTTCGCATCGATCGAACAGAATTCATACAACTTGCCAAACTTTGTCTTGTAGGTCTTGCGAGTGATGTGTATTTACTTCTATACAATTAATATTGTAAGCTCGCGACTTGCCGTGTTTCAACTTCATCGGTACATAAGTAAAGCCTCGACGTGCTTGACGGAGTAAATAATCATGAATTTCGATTAAATGTTCATTACAAGAAAACGTGTACTTACAAACGAGCGCACGTGTTCAATCGGCAATGATATATTCGTTCACTCGCTCGTACGATATACACGATTACTTAGGCACGCGTCAGAGTCAGAGACCTATATCCCTTTCTCTTTCTCTCTCTCTCTCTTCTTGATCCTCTGCAGCTGCGTGAAACAATACTCACATTATTCGAGGCCGAAAGCTCAGTGAATCTCGGCGATTATTAAATTCGATTGCAGCTCTCGGTTTATGGTTTAGCACAGACGCGATCATGCTTATTTACACGTAAATAACATTGTATCTGTGCAGCATGCTTCTCTCTCTCTGTAATAAACTTTTGAGTTGGCTACTGCCGTGACTGCGGCAGCGCGTGTGGCAGCAGTTGCTGCACAATATACACATACGTAGTGCGCGCAGTATACAACCTTTATACATTTCTCAATGGATCGAAGTTGAATAATTGATAAACCATTGGCGCACGCACGCGCTCTACTGCCCGGCACTGTATAACAGTTGCCAGCCAGCCAGAGAGAGAGAGAGAGAGAGAGAGAGAGAGAGCTGCACATTACAAAGAATATATAAAGGTTAATTTGGCAAATCGATAAAGTGTGCGAGTCAACACACCCGGTGAGGCTCGATTGGAGCGTAGTGTACGTGTAACCAAAGCTCGGGTTTATTGCTGCGCTATTGAGTCGCAACTTGTGTACAAAATGAAAGCTCGCGATATATTTATAGCCAACCTTTAAGGAGGTTCGGGGGTCTCAGTGAAATACAGCCAAATTTTTAAAACACGTTTAATTAAATAATTTCTAATGGCTATGAAGGTGGCACCCAAACTTCAACGTTCCTGCCAATGAAACGCGTCAATGAAACACAAACACGAATATTAACAAAAAACGTCAAAGTTTATTGAAATTGTCGCTAACGTTTCGCTGAGTTTATCAGCCTCCTCAGAGCGATTGTTAGTAGCGAACGGCTACATGTCAACTGAGAGAAAGTTATGTATAATACACGAAAAACAAAAACATCGATACACATGAGATCGCTCAAATTAAAATTATTTTAAAATGTTGAAATAAACTCTTGGCAAGGATTGTGTGGAACCAATGGATACCGCTGGTGTGGTGTACCAACTACAATGCAACAGCTGTGATACTCGTTACGTGGGCGAGTCAAAAAGACCTTTAAAAACGCGAATAAAAGAACATGAACGAGCCAGTAAGAACAAAAATCATGATTCGGTCGTGGCGCTTCACACCTTGCGCAACCCCGGTCATGATATGAGGTGGGACCAAGTTAGGATTTTAGACAGAGAGACAAAATATTGGCCCAGAATGATCTCGGAGATGATACATATCAATAACCAACGCAATGTTTTGAACAAGAAAGAAGATATTGACAAACTCAACAGAGTTTATTTCAACATTTTAAAATAATTTTAATTTGAGCGATCTCATGTGTATCGATGTTTTTGTTTTTCGTGCATTATACATAACTTTCTCTCAGTTGACATGTAGCCGTTCGCTACTAACAATCGCTCTGAGGAGGCTGATAAACTCAGCGAAACGTTAGCGACAATTTCAATAAACTTTGACTTTTTTTTGTTAATATTCGTGTTTGTGTTTCATTGACGCGTTTCATTGGCAGGAACGTTGAAGTTTGGGTGCCACCTTCATAGCCATTAGAAATTATTTAATTCAAATTTATTATTAGATGTGAGACGCGTAAACGGAATCTCAAAGTAGCAAAAATTTTTACAAAAGTTGATCCCCTTCGCCTTATACACTCTGAAATCTTTTCAGACACTGCAAGTTATATTATTGATCGACATGCATTGTTATCATTATCATCTACGTGTGACGTTATTAATGATATGCATTGTCGTCTAGATACTTTTATACCGTCTTAGCCTGTTTTGTTTGCAGTATCTACAAGTGTTATATCCAAAGGAAATCAACGAAAGTAGACTCAAGCATCATTCTTATATAGCTATCGAGAGAAATTTCTCGCCACTTGCGGGTACTCAATAATAGACATCTAGTGTCAGCTAGTCAAGTTACTCGGCAACGAAATTGTGTCGTACACAGATGCCGTCATTTTTTCAGCATGTGGACTTGGGCGCAAGATGTTTTTCGCTTCGCATCTACTTTATCAATTTTATAGTTACATAGGCCAAAAGATTCATCATAGAATAACTTTCATTTCTATTACGGAGTGATTTTCGAAATCATCCATATTTCGATCCCCCCTCATATACATAATGACGAATGGCGCGTGCGTGAAATACTCGTTCGACATCCAGATGGTCAAAGGTTCGAATACTGACACGAGGAAACTTTTGATTTTTTCATTCAATCATTCTTACTCAGCATTGTGAACATATGACGTTCTTTCATTGTGGATATGACCTCCCACAAGGAGGCGCGCCTTAATTGATGCTGAGCGCAGCAAAGTCGTACACATTCGATATTGCTAATTTTCGATGTTTTACTCTAACTGGGATAACTCATGCAGGGATAAACCAATCGATCTGAAAATTTTACATAGCATTCTTAAGGTGTTGACGGAGTGCTGTATACTTTTTTAGCAACATCAGTGTATCCTAATACGCAAAAAATGCATTTTTATGCAATTTTCAGTTTTGCACCTCGCGACATCTCCACTTCGAAAAAACATAATTTTTGTTTGCGATCGGTCTTACTTGTGTATCGGTATTGAACATTGTACTTATGACAAGTATATTATATGTCGTGTTTTGAGTACCACTATACTGAGCGTAACATGATTGTGATATAATATAATTATGTTGTGATTCAGTTAACATTGTACCGATGACAATTATATTAAAGGGTAAATGTGCCTGTTACCGACCATCCTCCAGTTTTCGACCACCCAAGGATATTATTTAAACAAATAGAAATATATATATAAAATTTTGAAATAATAAAATATTTTTTTAATTCTTTAAATAATATACTTTCAGAGAAAATTTATAGCTACCCTTGGAAATTATTAAATCTGTTTCGTAGCTCAATTTATAATTCTGACTTGGTCGAAAATTGGACGATTCGGTAAAATTGAATAAAAATTATTTAGAATTATTACGGGTGGTCGAAAACTGGATGGACAATTTTACCAATTTTAACGTTTTTTATTCAATTTGAAGCTCATCAGTAGGTTTCTCATGTACTTTAAACACGTATGTTCATTTATTATGCTTTCAGAGCTCGAAAATAAAAATTTAACCGAGTTCCAACTTCAGGGTCATTGACGACACAGTGAGGTGGTCGAAAACTGGACGATTCGCATTTTTTTGGCTTAATCCATTTTTTTAGAAGTATCATCAGCTTTTTTGGTCACGTGCACGTACTCATTCAAAAGGTTACTTTTTTTCTATCAAGAGGTATCTCCAGAAACATTTTCAAACGTAATACACAAGCTCTGTAAATGAGCAAAGAATGATTTTTTCTTAACTGTCCGAAAACTGGCGCATTCGCCCTATGTCTTGTTTTGAGTATCACTTCTGAGCAAATATTTATGATATGTTTATTTATTATATGCTAATAAATAAATATATGTTAATTTATGATATGTTAATTTATTTATTTGTCTCGATGTTTTATCATTTTGCGCGGTATTGATAGATACGTTTTAAGATCTTTTGTATTGATCTCGTGCTTGGGTATTACCTTCATGCACACTTTTGACGTGTCTGCATAAATATTTTCTATGTTTAAATTTTTTTCCGCATAAAACACAATCGTGATCAATGTCTTCGTGCTGCGTTTTAATGTGAGTCATAAGACGATCCTTTTGAGAAAATGTCTTGCCGCACTTATTACAATATCTTATTGTGTCTTATGCATTAAATTCATGTGTTTTTTAAGATTACCCTTTAGTGTGAATATCTTTCCGCACACTTCGCAAGTATGTGCCACACCTTTATGCATCGCATCAATGTGAATCTTGAGATAACATTTTTGTGTGAATGTCTTTCCACATATTCTACACGCATGTTTAACACCATTATGTACTCCATCGGTGTGGACCTTCAGTTTATTCTTCGTTTGAAATTTCTTTCCGCAAATTTCGCAAGTAGGTGCCATACCATTATGAATCGCATCGATGTGGACCTTGAGACATCCTTTTTTTGTGAATAATTTTCCACAAATACCACACTCATGTTTAACACCACTATGTACTCCATCGATGTGAATCTTGAGATAACATTTTTGTGTGAATGTCGTTCCACATATACTACACGCATGTTTAACACCATTATGCATCGCATCGATGTGAATTTTGAGATAACGTTTTTGTGTGAAAGACTTTCCACATACACCACACGCATGTTTAACACCATTATGTACTCCATCGATATGGATCTTGAGTTTATTCTTCGTTTGAAATTTCTTTCCGCATAGTTCGCAAGTAGGGGCCATACCTTTATGCATCGCATCGATGTGAATCTTGAGATAACATTTTTGTGTGAATGTCCTTCCACATATACTACACTCATGTTTAACACCATTATGCATCGCATCGATGTGAATCTTGAGATAACATTTTTGTGTGAATGTCTTTCCACATATTCTACACGCATGTTTAACACCATTATGCATTGCATCGATGTGAATTTTGAGATAACGTTTTTGTGTGAAAGACTTTCCACATACACCACACGCATGTTTAACACCATTATGTACTCCATCGATATGGATCTTGAGTTTATCCTTCGTTTGAAATTTCTTTCCGCATAGTTCGCAAGTAGGGGCCATACCATTATGCAGCGCATCGATGTGAATTTGGAGATAACGTTTTTGTGTGAAAGACTTTCCACATACACCACACGCATGTTTAACACCATTATGTACTGTATCGATGTGGACCTTGAGATAATCTTTTCGGGCAAATTTTTTACCGCATATATTACATGGATATTTGGTACGATTGCATGTTTTGTCAGTTTGGGTTTTGCGTTGACTATTTTGAGCAAATGTTTTTTCATTTGCATCAAATGCATCACTGAGTTCACTATCCAAATTCAATTCCTCTTTTACTTCGTCGACAATTTCTTCTTTAATTTTCTTTTGAGTCTGATAATCGCAACTATTTTTCATATGCTGCCATTGATCTGGATAATCGTCCTCGATTTTCTTGACAACTAATAAGTTAATGCCGAGCTTCTCGTCCTTACATTCGAATTCTATTTCCAAATCGTTATTAGGTCTAGAATTTTTATCATTTTCACGAAGCCCATAAATCTGGAAATGAGATTAGTAAAAGTACTTGATCAAAATATTGACTAAACAGTAAACAGTCCCACATCAACACTTACTAAATTTTCTCGACAATAACTCGAGAATTCGTCGTTTTTAGCATCGCATGCATTGTCAATTATCTTATAATCTTCATTTTTAATTGGGGAAACATCATCTGGTTCCTTCTTCACTCTGCAATATTCCCAATAATATAAAGTATTATGCCATTTTTTTTTAAATTTCATTCTCACGAAACAAAAATTACCTGACATCAGAGTTAAATACATCACTGAAGTCCATGTTTATCACTCGGAACTTGATCAACGACTAATTGTTTTGTAATGATGTTACACATCGAGTTAGGTAACATAAGTATAATAATATTTACAAATCGTGAAATGAAAGTTTGAGAAAATTTATGTCAACAGAGACACTCTAAACTTATCATTTATTATTGGAGAAATTATACTATTGATCTCGTAATAAACAATTAGCCATTTTCTTTGAATTGTATCTTATTACAAAGAAATTATAAATTATTGAACACTTCATGAATCGAGCTTATGATGTGTCCTATTCTCCTTTTCGCATAATTTTTTCGACGCGCAAAATATGAAACAAAGTTGACGTGAGCGAATGAAGGGTTTATATACATTTTTATATTACAAATACGTGACTACAGTCGCATCTATATCATTTACCATTATATACACAACCAGTGAATATCGTACATCTATGTAATCTATGTGTGATAAATATGCATGATTAGTCATGTAGTCAAATATATATCTATGTATATTGTCACGTGGGCACACCGGGCCAGCTTAACGCGTACATACAGCTGTATATGTGTTGGCATGCCATGTGCAAATTCCTTTGGTAGCAACGCTGTCAATACACGCTGAGCACAAAACATCGATAAGTGAAATCTATTTCGTACGTGCGAATTACGAAAATCTGTATTCATATATACCTATACTAATGTACATGTAGGGAACATCAAACTAAAAAATACGCCCTATTTTTGTGTTCTACTTCCAATTATTCCAATAATAATTTTAACGGATTTACCAAACTAGCTTACACAAAAAACTCATTGTAACATTGATTTATTATGATACTCATTGAAGCTACTATTATTAATTTCATAAGGCTGAAACTGTCGTATGCTATTTCGTTATTTACCATTCAGTCGCTCAGCATTTTGCAACTGTGGTTGCCACTAGTTAATACTAGTTGTCGCTTAGCGCGCATTTTTAAGAACATTTATTAAAATTATAAGCCACTTATTTTATTGTTTTTTCTTGAGTCAATCATTAATGGAGGTGCTTTGCAAAACGTTCTATATGGCTAACAGATTTCCTTGCCATCGTACGAGATTGACTCTTCTGTATACAGCTACTAACTTTGAGATAAATTTCACCGTATAATATTCCCTATATAATGTACGCAATAACAGCTCGAATGATCGTAACGTAAAATAAAATATTAACGCGCGAAATTTCACTCACGTGTAGAATAATACATGTGCGGTTCGCTGTAGTACCATCTTACGCCTTTTTTTGTGTAATGAATTATCCTTAAACTTTGCACTCGGTTTTATTAGATATCAATGTTCATGCGGAGTGCGCACATGCCGGGCCCGCCGCGTGTGATTCACTTTTGCGTATACGCGCTTGACAACTCACGCAAACGCACGCGTGGGATACGGACGCTGCGTGATACCATCAACTCGAGCGAGTGAGAGGCGCGAATGATTGAAAACACGCGTATGTTATATCTGTTCCTCGCATTTCCCGCTCTGCGCAGCGGCAGGGAAGTGGTCGCTTTCGGGCCGCTGGTATGAAAATTATTTATTTATTGAGGGAACTACTTTAATTGTTACGTCATTGTGAAAAAAATTCGATAAAAATTATATATCAAAGAATAGAAGAACGTTGGCAATTGATTCCACAAACAGAAATAATTTATGATTGCAACTGTTTTGTGAACAAATTAGAAAAGATAATATTAATATTTCCAAATTATTTTCAAGTTAAAAAAAAAGTATGAGGAAGCTACTTGCTAATACATTGGCAGCGGTTTTTTATATTTGCCGCGACGAGGAAACTTTTTCATGTCCATACATACATGTGCGAAGCAAGAAAAAAAATCAACGACACGCACGGACACATTTATATGTTTATTTATAGGAGCAGTTTCGTTGCACAGGAAGTATATACAAGGTGAGGTCGAGCGTTCGTTCGGTCGGTCGTACCTGCAGCACCGTCGTCACTGCTGCGCCGAGCTGTGCCGCACGCCGCGCTCGTGCGCCGTCGGTGTCACTGGGGTTTTAAAGAATTTAAAAACCAATGGCCTAGATGGTGAGCTATATGACGTGGGTATTTTTTATATACTCTTACTCTTCTTTTTTTTAAACTCTGCTTCGGCTGCTGCTGCTGTTGCTGCTGCCGGAGTTCTATGTTTTCTCATAAATAATGTAACTGTTTTTCCTGAACTGCTCGGGCGAGACTCTCGACTTCGGAGTCAAATATATTGGATGTAAAAATCTAATCGGTCAAAATAAAATGGCAAAGTTTTCTTTTTTAATTTTTCATGAGCGCGTAAAATAAATTGTCATATTTTCATCGATTTTCAAAATCATCTCGTATTTTACAAAAACTATTTCGTGAATTTATACTTTAACGAACGGAATTTGAAAATGCATTACCGATAACCATCGATTGCGCACCGAAAGCATTTATCTCTCTATATCGTCTATCTAATTTTGTGCTAGGATAAAAATATCCTTTGTTCACCGGTTCGCTCTTCTCGAATCTAATAATAGGAGTTTTTGTCAAAACCCGTTAAGTCGTTCGAAATTGCAGATTTTTATTATTGAATCCTGCGCTTCATGAGCGTACAATGGCTCTCTCGCAAAGACTAGTTTCCTTCTTCTTTATTTTTTATACTCTCGCATCGAAGCTGTACCAGGTAAGCTCGACAGACCGTATAACGCGCGCATTTCACGAGAATGTAGATTTCGTTTATATCGAGCTTCATAATAACAATGAGAGCCATGGAGTCTTATGTATATATTATATGAGTGTGTATATAGCACGAAAACGAAAAAAAAATTTGGTTTATCAAAGCGACCGATGCGCGTGGCAACTTCTATATTGCTTTCGATATCGATCGCACTTCTCTCTCTCTCTCTCTCTCTCCCTTCCGTCATGATGTCAAGCTTGTAATTATTATTCGTGTGTATTCACGCTTATGCACATACACAGACACAGAAGCTCGTGCATACGCACGCACACACACACACACATGCATACACGAGAGCATATGTGGCCGGGAGCTTACAGTGGCACAGACTTGGAGGCTCCGCTAAAAGTGAATTCATTAGCAGGGATTATATAGGCTATATTGTGCTGCGCCTTGGCATATGCACGCTCTTTCTTGTGCGAGTAGTAGTGTGTGTGTGTACTCCGTGTGTGTATGAGCTTCTGCTCTCGTACACATTACGACCTGTATATAATGCATGCCACTCGCAAAATCAGTGTAATATTAACAGCTCGCCTCTTAAATATGCAATGCGCTGCATCTCCGCCTCGGGTACTCGAGCTCTTTTTTGGCTTTGATTATTTTGCGAAATAAAAATAGGTTATTTTGAATTTGGAAGTTCGATAGACCTCTACCTCTTTCCGTGTGACTGCAACAGGCAATAAGGAACCAGTATCGCAATACAACTTTAGCGGTGTTACACAAAGGTGCATCGATTTATCATTATTATTTTTAGTTTTTGTTTGTAAATATTGAAATTCGATGGAACGGCTGGGTAATATTTTTCCTTGTACAAATCTGCAAATAGCGTAAATATCGACGATTCGAAAATCGTTGGCTGGAAATCCGACCAATTGGGACAGAGGAGAGTAAATACGTATAATTGCACGTGCGTTTATCTACGTACAAACAAGCGAACGGTGCTTATACGCAGCCACAAACATTAGTGTACGCCATCCATCTTCTCGCGCCTAACGTGTTCATTCGAATTCAAAGTGCGAGAGGTGTATTTATAGAATATCCGTGCTCAGCTTTGTTTCTGCTTACATTATACACACAATAAAGCTGATACGGTTTACGAGAAGCAAGAAGAGATAAAATAGAGAGAGGAAGAAGATTGATCGAGTTCATTACGCCAAGACGATCCACTTCTAATGTCAAATTAGTAATTTAAAAATATGCATGAACTTTGACAATATCTTAATTAGTTTAGCCTGTTTTTAATAAAAAAAGTATAGTAAATAATTTACGTATACCATTCGAATAAAACTCAAAGTGTGTAATCGACGCTTACACGTCGCGTCAAGCTCGCGGTATATATTAAGCTATATTACGCTCGAATGCTGTCTGTGAACCTTCGAGAAGATCGATGAGACGTTACAGCGGAAATTCACGAAAGGTCACTCGGCACAGGCTGACCCTCAAATTTTTGACCTTGATGACTTGCTCGTTTGTTCGAGAGCATTGATACAGACGAATAAGATGCAGGTCAAGTGCCCTGACAAATCATTCGAAAGTTCAAGTTTTTTTTCGAGAGGATTACTTTTGCGTATGACTTTGTCTTCTCCAGACATCTACTTACGTACAGGGATAGGCAAAATTAGCTTGTTATCAAAAATATGATAATTCTTGACGCCAATTCGAGCGGTTCGTTTCTCGCTGTTACCTACGATTATACTTAAAAATATCGATAACCCACACTGTTGTATTGACAATTTGGTCGTAAAGCACAGTAATCAGAAACAATTGGCACACATATATCTATATATTTTTTTAAAATAAAAAATACGAAATATAGTGGTAAGAACCACTCGAATTAACGTTTTTCTCTTTGACACAGATCTAATCGAATTGCCGGTATTTTCAATGTAACTTTTTGAGACATGTAAGGTAACAATGTTGAATTTTATTCAAGGTACTTTTACATAACATTTTCTTTTTAATGTATCAGTACTAATTTATAATTTTATATTAAATGTTGAAAAATATGCAATGGAAAGTCACATTGCAGAACTCGGCCGATGTAAGGAAATATTTATAAACTTGAACATCAGATTAATTGTAAACCGATTCTCCGGCAGATTTCGTATAGATCTTTTTCCGTTCGAGCGCACTAACGATGCTATTCTTAAGAGGCACATCTCTCTTTCTGAATTTCGCTCGCTCGAAATCGATATCGCCGAGTCTCAGCACGTAGCTACGTAAACAGTTTATAGGTATACGTGCGTAGATAAGCGAGCATCGCGCACTGATTCCACCTGCGTCGCTGACTTCTCAAACGGCAACTTTTGATACATAAATATTGTTCGCGAGTTAAAAATATCATTGCGAACGGACATAGGGAGG